GGGAGCACTCACTGGAAAAGACCCTGATGCTGGGAAAGATTGAAGGTCAAAGAAGACGGGGACGGCAAAGGATGAGATGGTTAGACAGTGTCAACGAACATGAAATTGAGCCAACTTCGGAGGACGGCGGAAGACAGGAGAGCCTGGCGGGAGATTGTCCATGGGGTTGCGAAGAGTCGGACTCGACTGTGCGACTGAACAACAACTTGTCCACTCATATACATTGAGTGTCCAATCAGCATCATGCTGAGTCATGATTACTGACCTCATACCTTATCTGGTCTGAACCGGTCAGGACTTGTTATCAGCAGCTTGCCTGCTGTCACTTAGATCCTCATGATCTGACTGCTAGATATTAACAACCAACCTGGGTCCTAGACTCAGAACTCTGAGCATGAGATTTCTGTGGTGAATGTCGATAAATCAAAAGTAGGTTTGCAGCTTACAGATACACACCTGAACAGCACATTCAAGATTGCAACAGCACAGACATTTTGATGCAATAATTCAGAGCAAGAGGTGTCAGTTATCACATACTAAATAAACAAAATATTGCAAGAATGCTGACGTTTTCAGTATGTTTTTATTTTAAGTTAAAAAAAACCCTTTGTGTCTGTGTCCTTTATAAAGTTTCTATGTCCGCTACCTGGCATTACATTTTATGACACACACGGCCCGGCCCAGCAAGGTCTCATTTATGTCAGATCCGGCCCTTGTAACAAATGAGTTCAACACCTCTAGCCTAGAGACTTACTGTTTAAAAAAGTAAAGCTGGGAATTCATAGAACCTGATTCCCATATCATCATAATGACACTCCATTGCTGATAAAGCCCCAGTGGTGCAGGGGGTGGGAGGACTGCTGCCGCCTGCAGACTAGGGCTAGGGAAATGCAAAGAAACCTGCCACGTCGAAGCCCTGTTGCTGTGGCACCATATCACCAACTGCAGAAGCCGTAGGAAATCCGCACGAGCCTCTTCCTGTGTGGAAGACACCTTACATTCTGTTGATTCTGCCATTGCTTCATTCTGCGATGTGGATTTTTAAGCCAGTTCAGTGTAGCGGTTAGGAGCACGGACTCTAACCTGGGAGAACTGGGTTCGACCCCCCTCTCCACATGCAGCTGCTGGTGTGACCTTGGGTCAGTCACAAGTGCTCTCAGAGCTGTTCTCTCAGGAGCAGTTCTCTCAGAGCTCTCTTAGCCCCACCTGCCTCACAGGGTGTCTGTTGTGGGGAGGGGAAGGGAGGGAGATTGCAAGCCGCTCTGAGACTCCGAGTGAAGGGTGGGATGTAAGTCCAATCTCCTCTTCTCTTCTAAGCCCTTAATATTGTTGTGCTGTGACCTGGGTGGCCCAGGCTAGCCCGATCTTGTCAGATCTCCAGAGATAAGCAGGATTGGCCCTCGTATTTGGATGAGAGACCACCAAGGAATACCAGGGTCACGATGTGGAGGCAGGCAAGGGCAAACCACTTCCTAACATCTCTTGCCTTGAAAACCCCCGTAGGGTCGTCATAAGTCACCTGTGACTTGATGGCAAAACAAACAAACCAACCAAAGAAACCCAAACTGTTGCTTTTGTGTCTCTTTATCCTGTTTGTTGTTCTCCTCCTCAGCTGCAAGTTTTACTCTTCATTTTTATGTCAGGGTAGCTGAGAGGCTTTGGCACAAATCTCATTCTGACCCTTTCTCCACTATAAATCACGTCTGCATCTTAGTTGTCTGTACACACACACACACACACTTCGGCTTTCCCTCCTTGGTTTTTCTCAACACGTAACCCCCTTCTTCACCATCTTCGATCCCCTTCTCCTCTTGTAGTGTTTGCGGATTGTTTTATTGGTAGGTCAGTCGCAAAAGTATATTCTTCCGTATGTATCTGTATCTCGGTTTTTTATCCTTTCTTTCCATTCAGTACTTTCCTTTTAACCTCACAACTCTGTGAGGTAGGCCAAGTTGAAAGAGAGTGACCGTCTCCAGGTCTGCTGGTGAACATCATGGCTGATTGGGATTCGAACCGAGGACAGACATACTTTTCCCCTCAATCTTGTTTAAGCTCCCTCTGCCCAGGTCTCTCTGGTCTGAGTTTAGCACCCCAACTACTTCTCCCCCCCCCCCGATTTACCCTCTTCTTTTATTCCTAGCATATTTTACTTAGCAGTATTATTGTCACATGACCTATCTGTAATACTGTTGCTTTTGCAGGATCTCAATGTTTCTGACAAATTGTGCCTCCCGGTGGGACCAGGGAACCTCTCAAATATGAAGAACTGCTCCTTATTTCTCCCTGTTCCAGAGACTGCCTACCTGCACCATGTGAGCTGGACGTCCCAGGTAGGTGTGAAAGCTAAAGCCATTCTAAGTTGCAAATAACTTGTCTCCCCAACATGCGTTCTACGAACCAGAATCTCTGGTTCCTGGCCCTAGGTCCCTGGCCTAGGGATGTCCGCCTCGCCTCATTCCCCTGCCTGGTGGAATGAGCTGCCTTATGAGATCAGGGTCCTGTGGGACCGGTTACAGTTCCGCAGGGCCTGTAAGATGGAGCTCTTCCGCCGGGGCTTTAGTTGAGGCAGCGGGCATCCACTTTGATCTGGCCTCCCCTCCAGTGACCCAGATCCTAGAAGCCGACTGGAACCACAACATCGTCCAACTTAATGTTATCTGTGAAGGCACAGGGTCGTCTTGGTGTGTTAATGATTTTACTGATTTTAATGGATCGTTGCAATACTTTTAAAATTGTAAATCTGCAATAATTGCAGATCTCTATGTTGGAACATGCCGTGAACCTACTATGTGGGGAGGGATGTTAGTGTAACAAAATAAATAAAATGAAATAAATGCTCCACACTTTTTAGTTAAAGCCTAGTTCCCAGTTTCTAAGTACTGCAAAGCTAAGCAGTTCCTCATTTTATTCTCAATAAATTGGCCCATAAAGCACAAGGGCTTGCTGGGCTTAACTCAGGCTGGGCCTAAAGCAAACATTCAGTGACAGAGTACGCAAATAAAGAAGAAGAGATTGGATTTATACCCCACCCTTCACTACCCAAAGGTGTCTCAGAGCGGCTTACAAACACCTTCCCCTTCGCCTCCCCACAACAGACACCCTGTGAGGGAGGTGGGGCTGAGAGACCTCTTGACAGAAACTGCTCTTTTTCAAGGACAGCTCTTATCAGAACTACGGCTTGCCCAAGGTCATCCAGCCAGGTGCAAGTGGAGGAGTGGGGAATCAAACCCAGTTCTCCCAGATTAGAGTCCGCGCACTTAGCCACCACACCAAACTGGCTCTCACCAAACACAACTCAGAATCAAAAGTTTACATAATAAAAGTTCCACAAGTTACCTGTCAAGGGATGTAGAATGGTGTAGTATATCTCGTCAGATCTCAGAAGCTAAGCAGGGTCGGTGCTTGGATGGGGGACCACCAAGGAAGGCTCTGCAGAGGGAGGCAGTGGCAAAGGACCTCTGCTTGATTGCTTGCCTTGAAACCCCTGTGGTGTCCGCTGTGACTTGATGGCACTACAATGTAGCTTCTGAAGAAGGGAAGGCTGCACGGTGTAGCTTGATCTCATCAGATCTCGGAAGCTAAGCAGGGTCGGCACTTGGATGGGGGACCAACAGGGAAGCCTCTGCAGGGGAAGGCACTGGCCAACCACCTCTGCTTCTCAGTTGCCTTGAAAACCCCACCCTGGGGTCTTATTTAACTTATTTCTTATTTAACTCATGGTACCTTTAACTCATTGTACCATCAGGCCAGAACTTTGTAGCCAACTTATGCTGTTCCAAGCTGTACCCATTGTTTTAATTGTCATAACGTTTTATTGTGTTTTAATGTTTTAAACTGAAATTGTATTTATTTTAATGATGTTACCCGCCCTGAGCCCACCCATCTTCCGTTAGGCATTACGGAATCGACCAGACAGACTTAGCTGAAGCAGCCTTCAGCAAGAAGGGTCCTGCAGCAAGGTGGTGGAACTGTAGACGTTCATTGATCCCACCTGGACTTCTAGCTTGGCCAAGGATAACCGGCTTGGATGACTTCCCCCACCGAAGGAGAGCGAAACATTGGAGCCTACCTGAAGGTTTCTTCTGGTCAGTGAGGAGAAGTCATCCACTTCCCACCAATGCTCCCTCTAAGCTGTGGAGTCTTGTGAGCAAGAATTCTGCTTTGTGAGCTACCAGCATGAAAGTTGTGAGCGAGCGATTTGGCTACTGCATGAATTAGTTTGCTTTGGAGCCCTCCTTCCTGAGCCAAGACAAAAATCTGTGAGCTGGAGGCTAAAAAAACTTGTCAGATAGCTCACACTAACTCATCTTAGAGGGAACACTGTTACCCACCCATCCAGAAAAGAAGAAAAGGTGAAGAATAGAAGGACAAATGCACATACCCAGTGGCCAAGCACGTCTGCCCCTGTGGCACTGGCAAAGTAGAAACCATTGAGCATACTTTGTTAGATTGTGGGTACTATCAAGTAATACGCACTAAGTACATCCAACCTATCCTGGAGCGATTTTCAGGTCTCCCAGATTTGGAATTAAGTAATACATTCTTGCTGGATTCCAGCCCCCAGGCTATGCTTGCTTGCGCCAGGTTCTTGGCTGCAGCCTATAGAATCCACAACGAATACGTTAAGGAGTGACATAGACTATTATTGAGCCTCTTGAAGTTCCTAATTTTTGAAAGTCTAAAAGTTCAGTTTTCTTTAAAAAATACTTGTATTTTAAAGTTTTTATCTAGTTATTTACAATTGAACGACTGTGTACCTAGAATATGGTATACAACTATGTTTATAACTGATTTGTGCTGGTCACGTACCGAAATAAACTGAACTGACTGACAAATGCACATGGAGGTCGTACGGAGCAAGGCTCAGACATGACTGGAAGGTCAGCCTTCGATCTCCCTGATAGGGGTCCTCGCAGATTTCTGCATAGCCCTGTCAGGGGTGAGCGGAGGTGTGATTTGACCAGCTTAGATGACTTCTCCTCACTGAAGAGAAGAAACCTTCAGGTAGGCTCCAGTGTTTCCTTCTCCTGGCAGGATCCATCAGGATAAGAGAGCTGCATGAACAGCAGTAAGTCATGAACTGGGGGGGGGTGTGAGCAGTGGAACTGCCAGTGCAGCCAGGCCAAGCAATCCGGTGTCATTGGAGCAGGGCTGAGCAAATACAAATGTCGGTTTTCGGGCAAGGCGCACAGTGGAGTATTTTTTGTTTGTTTTTTAAGGAACACTTGTTTCCTTTCCCCGGTCATTTCCAGATGGCTCCAGAGGCATCAGAGATGGGACCGAAATTATTTCCCATTGCAGAGATACTCAGCCCTAGGTATGCTTTATTCTTCGTTATTGGGAAGTGTCAGACTCGGATCCTCATTTGTCATAATGTAGAGGCTGGGGGAGGGAAATTCCCGAGGGAGGGGGTGTGAGTGAGCGAGAGTGAGAGTGGCACTATTGTAGAAGCTAATCGCAACTCTTCCCAAGACAGCCTCTCCAACGGAGACAGCCTTGAAGCAAACTCTGTGCTAGCCTCACTGTCTTAGATAACAGGACTGGGAACTTACAGGTGGGCGTTGATGCAGTTAGCTTAGGCGGGATGGCTGGATGAACCCCGGGGGGTGGGGTGGGGAACCCTTGTTTGAATTACCTATGTAGAAGTTGCCGCCCAAATCCTCAGTTCCGACACGGTTCTGATCTGAGCTTGGAATACTTATCAGTAAACTGAGCTTACTTATCAGTAAACAAATCACAAGTGAGTGTTGTTGAGGGTGAACTATCCGTGAAGACCGCAAAAGTGTCTATGGAAAGGGCATTTGAGGATGGTTCATAGGGTAGAAGGCAGCCCGGCGTCTCAGTTCCTGCAACAGCCAATTGAATACTGAGTGCAGAATCTTGAGCAGCCTGGAAAAAAACTGAACTGTGATAGTCTGGCTTGTAATGCCATTGTATCTACGGCTGTTCACTTGAGAGAAGCAGCTGCTAGAACGGAAGCGGCTTGTAATGAAGCGAGAGCTGAGTGGAAACGAGGCATGCAGAGGGACGTCTTGTTTAGCCAACTGGTTGGCACAACCTGGGCAGGAGAAATGGGGCATTGTGGAACCCTATTAGGTCCCAGGGTTTGGCAGGTCCTTCTGGCTGGTGATTCTCAGGACATGACCCTCCTTTCTCCATCCCTGAGAGCCAATTTGGCGGCGTGGTTAAGAGTGGCAGATTCTAATCTGGGAGAACCGGGTTAGATTCCCCACTCCTCTACATGGAGCTGCTGGGGTGACCTTGGGTCAGTTACAAGTCCTTTCAGAGCAGTTCTCTCATCATGAGCAGTTTTCGAGAGAGCTCTCTCAGCCCCACCTACCTCACAGGGAGTCTGTCATGGGGAGGGGAAGAAGAAGAGAAGAGACTGGATTTATACCCCGCCCTTCACTACCCAAAGGTGTCTCAGAGCGGCTCACAAGCTCCTTTCCCTTCCCCTCCCCACAGCAGACACCCTGTGAGGTAGGTGGGACTGAGAGAGCTCTTGACAGAAACTGCTTTTTTTCAAGAACAGCTCTTATCAGAACTATGGCTTGCCCAAGGTCATCCAGCCAGGTGCAAGTGGAGGAGTGGGGGAATCAAGCCCGGTTCTCCCAGATTAGAGTCCGCGCACTTGACCACTACACCAAGCTGGCTCTCCACTTTGGGAAGGGAAAGGAGACTGTAAGCTGCTCTGAGACTATGAGCCAAGGGTGGGGTATAAATCAAATCTCTTCTCTCTTTCTTCCCTCTCCTCAGTTTCACGGGAACCCTAGTCTCGTTCTCTGGAGTAATAGCAGAGAGGACTTTACGCGAATGTCTGACTGGAAAGAAGCCAGTCGCATCTCACTCTGACAGGCAGCAGGAAGGTGAGAGCCTGACAGATAGCGGGAGGAGCACCGGTCTCTAATTCCGTGCAGGTTCTTTTGAAGGTGGTACGTGTCAGGGGCTGTATTTCAGACTTGGCTGCTTCCGCATTGGGCACTTGTCGAGGGGCTTGATGCCTTCTGCCCTGGGACGTGAGTCTGGAGATCAGGCCCCCTATCGTGGTCGGGGAGAATGAATCCCTCAAGACTCCCGGGTCTTCTGCGGGTGGACCCACATATCCTGGGCAATGTTCCCTCTAAGCTGAGTTATTATGAGCTAGCTCACATTTTTTTAGCCTCTGGCTTACAATTTTTGGTCTTAGCTCAGGAAGGATGGCTCCAGAGCAAACTGATTTATGCAGCAGCCAAATCACCTGCTCACATCTTTAATGCCGTTAGCTCACAAAGCAGAATTTTTGCTCACAAGACTCCACAGCTTAGAGGGAGCATTGATCCTGGGGTGAATTGCCCTTGCATAGAGGCTGTGGTGTGGCCTCCTTTCGAATACTGTGTGCCGTTACGGTTGCTGTTATCTCAAAAAAGGACACTGCAGAGCTGGGGAAAGTCCAGAGGAGGGCAACAGAGATGATCAAGGGGTCGCTGAAGCACCTTCCCTGTGAGGAAAGGCTGAAGAGTTTGGGACTTTTCAGTTTAGAAGAGAGAAGGCCTAAGGGGGACAATCATGGAAGCTTATAAATGTGTTCATGCGGTGAAGAAAATGGATAAAGTGAGCTTTTTCTTCCTCCAGCATAATACTAGAACTTGGGAGCACCCAGTGAGGTTGTTGGCAAAACAGGTTCAGGAAATACTTCTTTACTTAATGAGTAACTAAACTGTGGAACTCACTGCCAGGGAACACAGCAATGGCTGTGAGCCTACATGGCTTTAAAAGGGGGATAGACCGATTCATGGAGAAGAGGTCCATCAGTGCCACTAGTCATGGAGACTGGAGGGAGTCACCATATGCAGAGGCAGCAGATCTCTGAACACCAGTGCATGGAGACCGCAGCGGGAGAAGGCCTCGGCCTCTACGCCCTCTTGTTGGCCCTCCAGAGTAACTGGTTGACTACTGTATGAAACTGGATGCTTGATGGACCACTGGCCTGGTTAAGCAGGGCTTTTCTTATGTTCTAAGAGCATGAGTGCCTTGGGTATTTACTGGTGTGTCTCTGATCTTCTGTATTCCTAGGGAATTTCTTGCCCTGGGATTACACTCTGAAGCTGAGCATATTGCCCACATGTGGTCCCTCCACTGGGCTGGACGTGTATGTCGAAGCCACCTTCCTGCCATATCTTTGGGGCATGCTCCCTGGAGCCAGGATCCTCTTCCACAACTTGCAGCGCAGAATTTCCAGGTATGTCTCAATCCAAAATCTAATCCCTGCAAATTGGTGTAGTGGTTAAGTGTGCGAACTCTAATCTGGGAGAACCGGGTTTGATTCCCCACTCCTCCACTTGTAGCTGCTGGATGACCTTGGGCAAGCCATAGTTCTGGCACAGCTGTTCTTGAAAAAGAGCAGTTTCTGTCAGAGCTCTCTCAGCCCCGCCTACCTCACAGGGTGTCTGTTGTGGGGAGGGGGAGGGAAAGGAGTTTGTAAGCCGCTCTGAGGCACCTTTGGGTAGTGAAGGGCGGGGTATAAATCCAGTCTCTTCTTCTTCTTGTGTCCTACTGCTCTGCTCAGCAAAACTTGAAGCCTTCCCTTGATGGCAGTGGCTCTTCTGCTGACGGAAGGGGTGCTTCTGTTGGCGGAAGGCCTCCTGAGGCTGGCGGAAGATGGCTGAGCGGAGCTGTTGGGGTGGGTGGGGATCCTGTAGACTGAAGCACAAGCTAGAGACTGGATGGTATGTAGAAACCTTTGCCTTCGCCCGGCATGGCATTTCTCGCTTGTAGTCTTCATTTCTGGGGTGGCACATTGTGTATGGCTTTCGTAAGACCCTGCTTTGTGCTTGTGCTCCAAATTGCACCTGGATTGATATATAATCTGTGATGGTACCATTATTGGCACCAAATGAGAAGGGATCCCTCACTAGAGAAGACCATGATGCTGGGAAAGATTGAAAGGAAAAGAAGAAGGGGGCAGCGAAGGATGAGATGGTTAGATGGTGTTATCGAGGCAACGGACATGAAATTAAGCAAACTCCGGAGCACGACGGAAGACGGGAGGGCCTGGCATAATGCGGTCCATGGGGTCACAAAGAGTCGGACTCGACTGTGCGACTGAACAACAACAACCGTTATTGGAGGGGGGCTTTAACAACAGGCAGTGGCTGCGCGGCTTAGCCATATCAGGTCAAATGTGGCCAACAGCTTGTGATCTGCTGTACGTCATGGCCAGTGTTCCCTCGAAGCTGAGTTAGTGTGAGCCAGCTCACAGTTTTTTAGCCTCTGGCTCACACATTTTTGTCTTAGGACAGGAAAGATGGCTCCAGAGCAAACTAATTTATGCAGTTGCCGAATCGCTCGCTCACCACTTTAACGCCAGTCGCTCACAAAGTAGAATTTTTGCTCACAAGATTCCACAGCTTAGAGGGAGCATTGCTCATGGCTGTTGATGATACTATCTAAAAACAGAGCCTCACTATCCAGATGCAGGACATCTCCCTCTCATTACAGGTTCAGAAATGTCTATTGCACTTACACGGCCTCCAGCTGCCTGAGTGTTCTGAGCCCCCTGCCTCCCGCCTCCCCTCCCAGGTGAGTCCTGCACTCCACACGGCTGTCCCTTTTGCTCACCTCATCACCCGGCATCAGGTGCTGCGAGTTCATCCGTGTCGTCTTTTCACCTTCCCAGGCCTACCGATGGCGGTTCCCGATTCCCAGCGGCGTACCTGTCTCGAATACAGCTTCAGCCTCCCAGTCTGGGCCAGGTGCAGGTCACCTGCCACGTGACGTGCGTCCTGACTCTGTCCCTGAGCTGGACCTGCTCTCTCTGCGGCAGCATCATCAAAGAGGTATCCAGCCGGCCCTCAGCCATGCCCCCGAAGATGGGAGTTGGAGCGTTACGCCCCACAGATCTTGTCCGCCTCACTAAGCCCTGATCTACGTTTGGGTCAAAGAGCGCTCCCCTGAAGTCTAACGAGGGTTACTTCCTAGCAAGCATCAAAGTAAAGCCATTCCAGAGTGGCTCCCCGACCGCTTTTGTAATTTCCGAAAACACGGCAGTGCACCACAAGAAGTTTACTAAGGTGGGAAGAGCTAGACGGTGAAGTGTGCACGTACCTTGCCGAGAGACAGCACGGGATGCGAAGAAGTCCTGAGCAAGTGATGGGTTGTGTCTTTTCAGTGGCAGAAAGCACACCTCGCTAATGGCGACACCATAGGGCTTTCAAGGCAAGAGAGGTTTCAGAGGGGGTTTGGCTGCCTCCCCGTCGCAACACTGGTATTCCTTGGAGGTCTCCCATCCAGGGGTCATTTCCTGCAGGAGCGCACAGGAGCGGAGCTCCGGCAGTAAAGAGCCGGGGGGGGGCACATGGAACAAGCCCCACCCCCTGCTCCCAGCAGCCCTCCATCAGAGCAAGAAGCAGCCAGGTAAGCTGCAGAGCCCGCCCTCCCTCCAAAACAGTCCAGTGGCACCTTTAAGACCAAGTTTTATTCAGGTACAAGCTCTGCACGACCCCCCCCCCCAATAGCTAGCAATCCAAAACAGTCCAGCGGAGCCTGAGCGGTGGGTGTTGCCTTCTGACACACTTCCGGTGATGTCAGGGGGTGTGGCCTATGCAAATGTTATGCTAATGAGCTCCTGCACCTCTTTTTCTATGAAAGGACCCCTGCTCCCATCCATTTCCGGCCAGGGCTGACCCTGCTTAGCTTCCAAGATGAGATGAGGTCAGGCTAGCCTGGACTATCCAGGTTGGTGTCTTTTTAGTATGCGCTGAAACAGACCCTGGGATGAACTGCAGGGTCGGTTTTAGCACAGTACAGAAACAAGAGCTGCACTGATCTGTGTCTGAATCAAGAGGGAAAGTTCTGGCTTTGTTTGTTTTGTTTTTTTTAAAAAAGAAAGATATCCAGAGTGTCTGGAGCTTATTGCTCTTCTTCAACGTTGTGTTCCTTTACACAGGGAATTAGGTTCTCAGGGAGGAAGGAAGCCCAGAGAATTTTACGCCTTCGTGGCCCACTTTTGGCCCAGCTCATCAGGCTGAGGGAGGTAAGCAGGGTCAGCCAGGGCCAGTGTGGTGTAGGGGTTAAGAGCGGCGGACTCTGATCTGGGAGAACTGGGTTTGATTCCCCACTCCTCTTCCACATGCAGCTGTTGCGTGACCCCTGGGTCAGTTACAAGTTATTTCAGAGCTGTTCTCTCAGCACCACCTACCTCACAGGGTGTCTGTTGTGGGGAGAGGTAGAGAAGAAGAGATTGGATTTATACCCCGCCCTTCACTACCCAAAGGTGTCTCAGAGCGGCTTACAAACTCCTTTCCCTTCCCCTCCCCACAACAGACACCCCGGGAGGTAGACAGGGCTGAGAGAGCCCTCTCGAGGACTGCTCTTGAGAGAACTGTGATTGACCTGAGGTCACCCAGCTGGCTGCATGTGGAGGAGTGGGGAATCAAACCTGGTTCTCTCCGATTAGAGTCGGCCACTCTTAACCACTACACCAAACTGGTTCTTGTAAGCTGCTCTTGAGACTCTGAGTGAAGGGACAGGTTATAACACCAACTCTCCTCCTAATTCATTCACAGAGATTTTAACCTCTGTGTGGTTTTTTGAAGCAAGGTCCCCTCACCGATGAATACAAGCGACCGCTACACTATAATAATACATCCTGCTCCATCCTGAATGGATTTTCACCAGGGCAGGAGCACTATGAGCGGCAAGGACAGTAAAAGGCTGGGGGGTGGACATTTGCCCATGTTCTAGCCAGCGTTCTCGGCTGCACTACAGTTCGGTGTAGTGGTTAAGACTGGCAGACTCTAACCTGGGAGAACCGTGTTTGATTCCCCACTTCTCCACATGCAGCTGCTGGTGTGACCTCGGGTCAGCCGCAGTTCTCTCAGAGCTGCTCTCTCAGCCCCGCCTCCCTCTGTTGTGGGGAGAGGAAGGGAAAGGAGTTTGTGAGCCGCTTTGAGACTCTGAGCAAAGGGCGGGGGTAAAAATCCAATCTCCTCCTCCCCCTCTTCCGGGGTTGCTATGCAAAGGGAGGCAATGGGAAACCACCTCTGCTCCTCTACTGCCTGGAATGTCCCATGGAACGGGTGGCCACCAGCCGGTTGCAGCTTTTTCAAAAAAGGAAGATGTGGTCCAAAAAGAGCAGAAATCTTGGAAGTGCTCTGGGCCACCTGTTTAAAATAAAACCAGTCTTCTGTGTCAGTCTGGGGTATTTCTCCCGCTTTGCCTTCCGCTCTAGAACGTTTGCTACCCTGGCCTGGATGACAGCTAAGCAGGGTTGGCCCTGCTTAGCACTTGGATGGGAGACCACCAAGGAAGCCCGGGGTGTTTCTGTGAAGAAACAGGCACTGGCAAACCACCTCTGAATGTCTCTTGCCCTGAAAACCTCTACAGGGCTGCCACAAGGGGGCTGTGAGCTGACAGTGCTTACCTCCACCACCTGAACATTTGCTGGAGTGCTGAAAAGGCACTCCCATCTTATGAAACGGCACGGGTCATTCAGACCGAAAGGCTCAACTTCTGTCTGGGCTGTACCACTTTGCTCATGATCGAGAGCTCCTGTAGAACACTCAAATTCCCTTCTTGTCTGTATAGAGACACATTTCATTGTCGCAAGCTCTTGCAGACGTCCAGCAGCAGTGTAGCCAAGAGACGGGTTTGCCCCACCCAGTGAGAACTAGGCTGTAGTTTGCTATGACCTGGATAGCCGAGGCTAGCATGATCCCGTCAGATCTTGGAAGCTAAGCAGGGTTGGCCCTGGCTAGTATTTGGAAGGGCCACCTCCAAGGAATCCCAGGGGCATGATGCAGAGGCAGGCAATGGCAAAACCACCTCTGAAATGTCTCATCTTAAAAAAACAAGTCTAGCTCTCCACCTAGTGGTGCATAACGCCAAAGAGGTAGAACTTTGGCTGCCAATCTTAGGATTTCCTGGCTATTCTACACACAATGCCATACAATAATTATTATTTGCTATGCTCCTTTGTTTTGTCCTTTTCTTTCCTATCTAGGGAAGATGCAGCCAACAGAACCCACCTTGCTCATCCTGTACTGGAGTGATTAAAGCTAATGCCAGGTGAGAAGGGAGGGAATTTGTCTCCCTCAGATGGCTCCTGAGGTGATAGACAGTGCTTCCTCTAAGCTGAGTTAGTGTGAGCTGTTGTTGTTGTTGTTCAGTCGCACAGTCGAGTCCGACTCTTCGCGACCCCATGGACCAGATCCCGCCAGGCCTTCCTGTCTTCCGCCATCCTCTGAAGTTTGCTCAATTTCATGTTCGTTGCATCTATGACACTGTCTAACCATCTCATCCTTTACCGTCCCCGTCTTCTTTGACTTTCAATCTTTCCCAGCCTCCAGCTCATACATTTTTGTCTTAGCTCAGGAAGGAGGGCTCCAGAGCAAACGAATTTCTGCAGTAGCCAAATTGCTCGCTCACACCTTTAATGCTAGTAGCTCACAAAGTAGAAATTTTTGCTCACAAGACTCCACAGCTTAGAGGGAGCATTGGTGATAGACCTTTTTGAACACGCAATAGCACGGTTTGGATGCAACAACTGCTTGGCATTTACCAAAAAAAGGGGGGGGGACCAGTGGCACCTGAAACACTTTAACAACCTTTATTCGCTACAACTTGATAGAGTTTGGGATAAGAACTGTATGCTTGAATTAACACATTTAGCCTCAAAAAGCTATAGGAGTATAGAAGTTTAGACAACACAGATTGGGTTTTGTTTCTGACTTGGTTTTGACTTGAATAGTGAAAATAAGGAAAGTCAGTTAGTAAAGGAAGAATGGTAATATTAATTAGTGTTGTAGAAAATAAGTGTGATACAAGGTATGGAAATATATGTAAATTTGCTCATGATGTTGTTTATGTGCACAATATAGGCCTATAAAATCTAATAAAAATAATTAAAAAAACAACCTTTATGCTGGCATGAGCTTTCATGAGTCACAACTCACTTCCTCAGATGCAGTGGGAAGAAAGGAAATCATTCCCCTCATTTTTACAGATAATTCTGGAAGGAGAAGGGGGAAAAGGGAGAGGTTGAACATCTGCCTGTGTCAAAAGAGTTTCGGGGTTTTTTTGCCTGCAGGATTCTAGTAGAAGACGGGACAGGCGAGGCTGTGGTGTCGTGCAGGAACCAGCAGGTCCGTGAAGTGCTGGCTCTGAGCCCCAAGGAGTGGGATGTCGTGCAGGCCCACGTCCGGAGCAAAGGCTTCGTCTGCATCCGGCACAACGAGAGCGGTGGTGGTCCCGGGGTAAGTGGCTCCTCTGTTCTCCTGAGGCCGAACCGCTGACCCCAGATCCAGCCCTGGTTCGCCTCCAAGATCTGATGGAACTGAGCCAGCCTGGACCATCCAGACAAGGGCAGAGACGGACAGAGGTGGGTTTGGCATCGCCCGCCTCTCTGTAGCAGGCCTGGGCGTCCACGGTGGTTTCCCATCCAAGCGCCAACCAGGGCCGACTCTGCTTAGCCTCTGAGATCTGATGAGATCCCTCTAGCCTGGTCCGTCCACGTCAGGACAAAAGAATGCGCTGGTTTAGCAACTGCCTGCCTCTGCACAGCGACCCTCAGCTCCCCCAGCGGCCTTCCCGCGGAAGTACTAGCCAGGGCCAGCCCTGCTTCGCTTCCGAGATCTGATGAGACTGGGCTGGCTTAGGCTGTCTAGATCAGGGTGATGATACCCTGCTGCTTTTCGCAGGGCACGGAAGATCCCGGGGACTTGCTGACGTCATACTTGAGAAGCCTGTGCAGAAGCCCTGTTGTCCTTCGGTCTCTCGTGTTGGGTGCCAGGCTGGATAGAAAGCCCACCGAGGCAGGTAAGTGGATGCACGCAACCCCCCACCCCGACTGGCTAGATAAAGAAATGGAGGAGATTGGATTTATACCCCGCCCTACACTTGGAGTCTCAGAGCGGCTTACAGTCCCCCTTCCCCCTCCCCACGACAGACACCGTGAGGTCGGTGGGGCTGAGAGAGCTCTTTCGAGAACTGCTCCTGAGAGAACAGCTCTGACAGACCTTGTAACTCACCCAAGGTCACACCAGCAGCTGCAAGTGCAGGAGTGGGGAATCAAACCCGGTTCTCCCAGATTAGTCCACACGCTTAACCACGACACCAAACTGGCTCTGATGAACCACCACCACTCCAGCTCCCTCTGTATTTAATCTATCCTACTTTAAAAAGTTTGCAAGAACTTACTTAAAAATGGAACCAGAACAGAACACTATTTTGGAGTGGAGGGACTTCTTCTGCAGTTTGGGGAGGCCCACAAATTCTGGTTGGACTCAGTGGACACCTGTTATTATTCTGAAGAACAAAATCCAAGTCCGGTAGTACCACAGAGCATTCAGAGTTGGTTTGCCATCGGCTGCCTGTGCGAGACCACCCTGGATTCCCCGCCCAAGCACTAACCAGGGTCAACCCTGCTTAGCTTCCGAGATTGGATGAAATCAGGCTAGCCTGATCCGTCCAAGTCAGGTCTCTTGTCTAAGCAGCAGTCTTGAAATGTTTTGAGTTTTGTGGATATTCTTCTTACTGTCGTTTGTCCTTCCTAGGCTCACGATGGATGAGAAGGTTCGTGTCTAACGAAGTGGAGTTCCAAAGCCAGATGAGGAATCAACCGAAACTGATGTGCCTGAGCATCCGGGAGGCCACCTGAGCCGTGGGAAAGGGGAAGGGGGAAAGAAAGCACCTTACCTCGTATTGGACAGCCAGCGCCTGCCCTCTGGGTCGCCTTCACAAGATGAAACGCCTGTTGTTGCTTTTGTGCGTCTTAACAGGAGACTTTTCAGTGGGAATCTCCTACTGCTGCGGCGTTATGGATTGAGAGCCGAGCTGTCCCCAGATAAGCTGGGTCCAGAGAGAGGGCTGCGCACCTCGTTCTCAGAGAGATGGTGGTGTCTGGATTGTACCACGTAAGAAGGCAGGTGGAGACCTACATTATTGCGTGTTCTTCTAAAACGACAAGGATCCATTCATGTAGAAAATGGACATGTTGGGGCGAAGGCTGAGAGAGCCGACTCCCCCCCCCCCCCGTTTTTTTCTAGTTATTTTGCACAGAGGAGCATCGCCGAAGGCAAATGCCTGCCTACGGCTCAAAAGTGGTACAGTCCAGGGAGGAGACCTTTTCTACTCGGTGAAGCGTGTGACTGATGTGCTTAGGGAACAAAATATACTATTTCTTTCATAATTCCTTTTCCATCAAATGTTTACTTCTCTCACCAAGAATAGTGGGCAGACTTTTGGAAACGTTGCTTTAGCAGCAGCTGCTGCCAACCCAGCATAAGGATCTTCAGTGTTAACTGAAGATAAGCTGTGGAAGCTGCCGTTTATGGCTGCGCCCACTACAGTGTCAGAATTCCGAAGGCACCCCCACAGGCTCAAAAAGGCTGGGCGCCCCCATCTTAGAGCATGCAGCCATCTGAATGCAAAATGTAATGGTTTGGAGGGTGGCTTGCAAGAGAACACTGGTCTCTCTGGGGTTCTTTTCTGGCCTTTATTTGGTCTTCAGTGGTAAGACAAATCCCACATGATATCCAGGTCCGTGGCTACAGTGGGGCTATTTGGGGCTCCGCCCCCTTTCTTCCCCACAGGAATTCATCCAGGTGGCTCTGGGAGGGCCGAATAGCCTGGGAAGGGCAGGAAGCCTCTTCCCTGGGTCTGCAGCTCTGAAAGGGTTAAAGCAGGTTTTGCTTCTGAATGGGGAAGGAGAAGAAGAGTTTGGATTTATACCCCGCCCTTCACTACCCAAAGGTGTCTCAGAGCAGCTTACAAACTCCTTTCCCTTCCCCTCCCCACAACAGACAACCTGTGCGGTAGGCGGGGCTGAGAGAACTCTTGACAGAAACTGCTGTTTTTCAAGAACAGCACTTATCAGAACTACGGCTTGCCCAAGGTCACATCAGCAGGTGCAAGTGGAGGAGTGGAGAATCAAACCCGGTTCTCCCAGATTAGAGTCCACGCACTTAACCACGACACCAAAATGAAGAGGGGGGGGGGACACTGTAGAGAAAAGCCTTGCAGACAGATCCTGGGAGGGTTTACTCTCAAGTAAGTCATTTCAGTCTTGGAAGACAGACATTTGGTTATTGTGTGGCTTGGGGAGGGGTTAAATACACTGAGGACTTATACAGAAGAGACAAAAGGATCACAGATTGTTCTAGGGAAAGGCCCAGGGAGAGCAAGGAGGGAAGGAATGGGTGGGAGGGAGGGAGAAGCATCAATATGAGGCTCCCTTTCCTGCCTCACCTCCCCCCCCCCATATCTGCCAAGTGGGTTTTGCATCTGGGAGAACCTACTACAAGATCGGGGCTGTGGTGGCTCAGAGGTTAAGACGCTGAACTGCAGACCGGAAGGTCTGTAGTTCAGCACTTTGAGACCCGAGTGCCGCGTGACGGAGTGAGCTCCCGTCTCTGGCCCCAGCTCCTGCCAACCTAGCCATTCGAAAGCAAGAAATTGCAAGTAGATAGGTACCGATTCGGTGGGAAGGTAACAGCGTTCCGTGCGCCTCGGCATCTAGGCATGCCGGCCACAGGACCACGGAGAAGTCTTCGGACAGCACTGGCTCTTCGGCTTGGTAACGGTGATGAGCACCGCCCCCTAGAGTTGGATTCGACAGGCTTTCGAGCAAGGGAGAAAAAGGGGTACAGATGGTTGTGTACAGACAGAAAAATAATGGCAAAACTGGCAGCCCCACCAATCCCACAAGCTACAAAATCCTGGCTATGGGCCTGATGGTATCCATCAACAGTTTTATCTGGCTATCAGGTCATTTGGGGGCCAACTGGAGGAGCCGGAGCTTGCCTTTAACAGCCTGAAGTTTTGCATAGGTAAAGGTTTCCCTTGCTCGAAAGCAAGTCGAATCTGACTCTAGGGATGTGGTGCTCATCTCCGTTTCCAAGCTGAAGAGCCAGCGCTGTCCAAAGACTTCTCCGTGGTCCTGTGGCCAGCGTGACTGGACGCCGAGGCACACGGAACGCTGTTACCTTCCCACTGAAGTGGTACCTATTTATCTACTTGCAATTTTTTGCTTTCAAACTGCTAGGTTGGCAGGAGCTGGGGGCAGAGACGGGAGCGCACTCCGTCATGCGGCACACTCGGGTCTCGAACTGCTGAACTACTGACCTTCTGGTCTGCAGTTCAGCCTCTTAACCACTTGAGCCACTGCAGCCCTTAAGTTCTGCATACCTGTCTATAAAAAAGTGCTACCCTTCTTCTGGATCTGCTGCCAGGGGTCCCAGGGCCAGGCCTTCTCTGCTCTTTATCAAAAGCTTGCAGAGCTGCTGCACTTGTAGACGAATGCATTTTCTGAACACCGAACAGCATTAACGAAATGCAACACTTTGGTTTCTGTGGTCACACTGTTACTGTATTTTGTGACTGCTTTCGGATTTTATTGTTATTCACGCTGAGCGCTCCGTGCAGTAAAACGGTGACTCAGTTCTATAAATCCCACAAATGGAGCACTGAAACAGGCTGGAATTCCATCTCTTTATGAGGGGTAACTCATCCGCGTTAACGCATTGGAGGCTTTGGACACAATTATCTCTCCATCAGGGTTCCCTCTAAGGTGAGTAAGTGTGAGCCAGCTCACAGGCTTTTTTAGCCTCCGGCTCACACATTTTTGTCTTAGCTCAGGAAGGAAGGCTCAAGAGCAAACTAATTTATGCAGTAGCCAATGCTCCCTCTAAGCTGTGGAGTCTTGTGAGCAAAAATTCTACTTTGTGAGCTACTGGCATTAAAGTTCAGAGTGAGTGATTTGGCTGCTGCATACATTAGTTTGCTCTGGAGCTCTCCTTCCTGAGCTAAGGCAAAAATGTGTGAGCCGGTGGCTAAAAAACTGTGAGCTAGCTCACACGAACTCAGCTTAGAGGGAACACTAGTAGCCCAATCGCTCGCTCACAACCTTAATGCCAGTAGCTCACAAAGTAGAATTTTTGCTCACAAGACTCCACAGTTTAGAGGGAGCATTGCTCTCCATTCTGCTGAGAAACCTCGAAGATGAACTGACGTCCAGCACAGATACACTCCACAAAGCCCAACCGAGAAGGAAGCACAGTACAGCAGCGGAGGCGGGTGCCACAGCCCGTCTCCACTCACAATCAAGAGAACAAGCTGCCAGCACTTCACAAACCGGAGTTGGGGAGAAAATATTGTATTGTTTCACTGTGAACACCTTTGAGTAGCGAGGAAAAGCAGTAGAGAAATACGGCGATCAATTAAGTTCACAAAGCAACCCTACTACTCGAGAGGAAAGGGCCAGGCGTGGGGGTTTTTTTTGGGGGGGGGAACTGTGGCAGGGATATGTGACCCCGTTTCCCCTTTGCCGGAGGAACTTTGTTAACTCTCAACAGAACAGACCTGGACGGTAGCAGCAGCAGCTAAATCTGGACCGCTCTTGAGTTCAACTCCCAGCTTAATTTTGAAACTGATCGTAAACATTTCAACGGAACGGTTAAGTACAGAATTTCCCTCCCAGCTTTGCACCGAGCCCTGCTGTACAGTTTCCACTAAATGTAATACTCTGCAATAATGGCTCCGGCTGGGGTTTGTTTCGGACACCGCTCTAACGCGCTCTTTCAATTCCCAGACAATTTCTTCTGAGCGAGCCGGCACCACACAGGATGGCTGCAAGCAATGAACATTTCACGTACGGAGAGTCCTTGCAGCCCAGCGCTACGTACAGTACCCACTGGGTCCAAAAGTTATTTCTGAGAATGCTGCTACAACAGTACGCCTCGCTATTCGGATCCTCTTGGTGCTTGGGCATCAGAACACATGCATGCTCCCGGGTTACATTAGAGCGCCACCAGCAGAGAGATTCCCAGTTTGCCAAAGGCAGACCTATATTATGCTGAGGAATGAGACTGAGTTGAACAGGCAACAGTGATCCAAGAGGCAGGTGTATTTGTGGGAACTTTTCAAGGAAAACAGGTACAGAACAACTGTGAAGAGAACACAGCTCTGCTGAAGAACCGACCACTGGCTCTGCCCTATAAACATCGACCTAGTGCCACTTTGTAAGCGCAGCTCGGTAGCTAAGACTGCTTCCGTCCCGTCTAGGTTTCTGGCGTCATTCGAGCGCCCCCCCCCCCAGGTTTCACGCACTTTTTTAAAAAAGCGGTGGTTTTTAAAAACAGTCGCTTCCCCAGCAAAGGCGTCGTCAACCATACAGACCCTAAAGCAAGGATTACAAAAACAAGACCAGTATCATTTCTTTTCTTACAAGAAACACTCAGGTCCCAACCAGCCGGAAAATCTGGTTCTTTAAGTAGGTGCACAGCTGGTTCATTAAGTCCCGGTTCTGCCCTTCGACCCAGTGCATTTCTACCAAGAAATCCTCCCCTTCGCTCTTCACATTTAAGACGCACTTGAAAAGGAACCATTCGTTCAAGACGCTGGCACGTGGCCCGGTTGCGGCGGCTTGGCTAGCGGTGCCGAAAGCTCGGGACTCCTTAGCGCCACTGGATTCTTCGGCGCCTGCTAAGGCAACTGCTGTCTGTCTGGCTTGCCCGCTTTCCTCAGTACGGGCCTGGCTGTTTCCTTCCTGAACGGGAGAGGAACTATTTAGACTATCGGCCTCGGGGGCTTCATGTTCCCGGGAGCCTCCTTCCGTGCTTCCGGTCTCGTTCTCTTCACATTCTACGGTTCTACTGGAATCTTTCTGGGGGTTCTCTTTCTCTTCCGGGGCTTGCAGGAAATCGACGGACGCGCGGGGAAGTTCACGCAGCTGTCTGACCCGCTCCCTTTTCTTTCTCCTCAAATGAATCCAGGAGTTTTCTAGGGCCGTCAGGAACAGGCTGACTTCGTCTTTTTCGCAAGGGAGACATTTGTATTGAACCTGTTTCCAAAGTAAACAAGAACCGGATCTTTAGAATCATGCACTGCTTCCTAAAGAAAAGTCACTTTCAAAAAATGCGCCCGTTACGGCGAATATACCTTCAGGTCACGGAGGATTTTTTTAATCCATGCCGCCACTGCTTCCGTCCCTTCAGAAGCATCCAGTCCCATGGATGAAGCTTTAATAGCCAACTCTTTCATTGTTGACACCAAAACCAGGAATGTAATCGGTTTCCGAGGCTTTTCTAGTTTTCTTTTCTTGGAAGGGGGTGACTGAAAGAGGGGGAAAGACATGCACAATTATTCTATTCTGCTTGGGATAGCTCAAAATACTATTTTATTATTATATTATTTTCCAATTGAAGAAGAGGAGATTGGATTTATAGCCTGCCCTTCATTACCCAAAGAAGTCTCAGAGTGGCTTACAAACTCCTTCCCCCTTCCCCTCCCCTCAACAGACACCCTGTGAGGTAGGTGGGGCTGAGAGAGCTCTTTCGAGAACAGCTCTGAGAGAACTTGTCACTGACCCAAGGTCACACCAGCAGCTGCATGTGGAGGAGTGGGGAATCAAACCCGGTTCGCCCAGATTAGAGTCCGCGCTCCTAACCACTACACCAAACTGCCAGAGGATCTGTATTTAATACAAATTCTATAAATAAATGGTGTCTTATGTGGTAACAACAACTAGTACTGGGGAAAAACAACCCCACAATGGAGGAACTGGAGAATACATTACATGAACCTGCAACTACAGCTATACTGATGTCTTTTGTAAGAAAAGATTTTTGTAAGATAACTGGCGATAGTTCATCTTCCATAAAACACGTACTATCATCAAGGAGGTACATGCATCTACATTATGTGTTTCAGCCCAGTGTTGAAAGTAAAGGCACAGGGCCTTCCAAAGGCAAGGGGCTACCACAGAAAAGGCCCTGCACCTGTAGCCACCACCCGCTAATCTTTTTATCAATCGGTTAGATATTACCTTTTCCCTCCCTCCCCCGAAAGGCTTCCCGCAATGCATCTCCCTCATGTCCCCCGCTATACTGATGTCTTTTGTAAGATAACTGGTGATTGTTCAACTTCCATAAAACACGTACTATCATCAAGGAGGTACATGCATCTACATTATGTGTTTCAGCCCAGTGTTGAAAGTAAAGGCACAGGGCCTTCCAAAGGCAAGGGGCTACCACATGATTAATATGAAGACACTACAACTAGACAGTGGTACAAGGTTACAGATAACAGGAGAAGCTATGCAGGGAAAGGAATGCAGCACCCATTAGTACACAGGTCAGGCGGGTGCCCCCTCAGCCCATAAACAATATGGCAGCGTAGCTGACCTTCACCTCTGAAGGCGGGGCACAGAGCAGGGACTGAGAGGTAGATCTTAACGGGTGAGCTACTGTAGGGAAGGGCAATCCTTCAGGTACTCGGCCCCACGCCATTTTTTAAATTTAGTTATGGGGAGGGGCATGACAGTAACCATAATGCTATATTTTTTTAATTAGGACCACTAAAGATGTCAGCAAAGCAGCAAATAAGCTTTCAAGTTCACCAGAAGTCCTCTTTGGGCTCAAGGGGCGGTGTGCCCGCTGAGCGCCGGTTGCTGGGCATTTTCACAGGGGTCGCTCCCGCAGCTAGCAGACACCAACAGACCCTTTCCCCCGTGAATCTCGTCCAATTCCCCTTTTAACAGCAGCTGGCACCTCCACAGCTGTATTCCTGAGCATAAAAGCAGAGCCCCAACTTCCTGAAAGTGATGCACTGCCAGAGTGGCTAAAACCCCTCTGTTTTAGCAGTCATAGCTCAGCAACCATTAAGCAGCAAAGTACCATCAGGGGCAATGATGTAGGGAAGGGCAATCCTTCAGGTACTCGGGACCCACGCCATTTTTAAAATTTAGTTATGGAGAGGGGCATGACATGCTATATTTTTTTAATTAGGACCACTAAAGATGTCAGCAAAGCAGCGAATAAGCTTTCAAGTTCACCAGAAGTCCTCTTTGGGCTCAAGGGGCGGTGTGCCCGCTGAGCGCCGGTTGCTGGGCATTTTCACAGGGGTCGCTCCCGCAGCTAGCAGACACCAACAGACCCTTTCCCCCGTGAATCTCGTCCAATTCCCCTTTTAACAGCAGCTGGCACCTCCACAGCTGTATTCCTGAGCATAAAAGCAGAGCCCCAACTCCCTGAAAGTGATGCACTGCCAGAGTGGCTAAAGCCCCTCTGTTTTAGCAGTCATAGCTCAGCAACCATTAAGCAGCAAAGTACCATCAGGGGCAATGCTCCCTCTGAGCTGGGGAGTCTTGTGAGCAAAAATTCTACTTTGTGAGCTACCAGCATTAAAGTTGTGAGCGAACGATTGGGCTCCTGCATACATTCGTTTGCTCTGGAGCCCTCCTTCCTGAGCTAGGACAAAGATGCGTGAGCCGGAGGCTAAAAAACTGTGGATGAGCTCACACTAACTCAGCTTTGAGGTACCTTTCCATCCTCAGTTTGGTGTGCGGACTCTAATCTGGGAGAACGGGGTTTGATTCCCCACTCCTCCACTTGCACCTGGCTGGATGACCTTGGACTTGCACCTGCCTGGATGACCTTGGGCAAGCCGTAGCTCTGATAAGAGCTGTTCTTGAGAAAGAGCAGTTTCTGTCAGAGCTCTCTCAGCCCCGCCTCCCTCACAGGGTGTCTGTTGTGGGGAGGGGAAGGGAAAGGAGTTTGTAAGTCACTCCGAGACTCCTCTGGGTAGTGAAGGGCGGGGTATAAATCCAATCTCTTCTTCTTCTGCTCAGTCTCAACTGCCAGGAGGATGAGGTCTTTGGGAACTCCCCAGCCTGGGAGAAAAGGCAACTGGAAAGGGAAAGGAAACCTGAACTACAGTTGCAGTACTTTTAATTGGATATTGATACTACAGTCTTTTAAAACGTCCCGACCTGGATGGCCCAGGCAAGCCCAATCTCGTCAGATCTCCAGGGTCACCACGCAGAGGCAGGCGATGGCAAAGCTGCCTCCGTACGTCTCTCGCCTTGAAGACGCTACAGGGTTGGCCCTACGTCGGCTGTGACTTGACGGCACTTTCTGCCGCCACATTTTAAAATGCAACGTAAACCAAAACAACGAGATAAAGTCTTCCTTGGGGGGGGCCTCTTAGCTGGGCAGTGTCTCCCCCCCCCGGGGCTCATCCAGGATTGGGCAGTGTCCCCCCCCCCGGGGGGGCTCATCCAGGGTTTGTCTCCCTTTCTCATCAATCAGAACAGACTAAGGGGGGTGACGAACTACTCTGCCGAGAACATCAGTTGCCCGAGGACAGCATGGCGCTTCGTTCCGCACCCGCCTATGCTCAAGCATCAGTCTGACTGCTGGAAGCGGCCGACTCACCTGGCGGGAGTGGACTGCCAGGCAGATGGTGCCCTTGCTTAAAGAACCATTTAGTGCCATCTGCCCGGGCCCTGAGCCCCGGCCAAGGTAAACAGTGCCGTTCGCAAGTGTGCGTGGCTCCAGCCCTCCGCCAGCTTGGCAAGGGAATGGATATTCACACATCCTTTCTACTCTCTAGGGCACTGCCCGCTCTCGCCTCTCAAAACTGATTCCAGAGCCTATCAAACACATGCCAGGGGTTAAGAACCATGGCTCTCTTGTAAAAGAATAAAGCCACGGCTGGGAGACAGAGGGAACCGCTCCAGGCATTCTGTGCGCTCAAGGGGGCTTCGAGCGGCACTTCTTGGAGAAAAGCAATCGTTAAGAACACGAGAAGAACCCTGCTGGATCAGACCCGTCTCCTTCCCTTCCCCTCCCCACAACAGACACCCTGAGCAGTAGGTGGGGCTGAGAGAGCTCTCTTGAGGACTGCTCTTGAGAGAACAGCTCTGACAGAACTTGTGACTGACCCGATGCAAGAACTTAGAAGCCTTGCTACTGGGCACTGCTCTCCCATTCATTGGGGGATTTCTCTTAACGGGCTGCTGCCAGAGTATTTTCCCTGTCTGATTGATCCCTATATTAGAAGGGTATTCACGCTGGCCAGTTTTAATGTGCTCCCCTCAGCTGTGTTATATGGGAGATTTTAAAAAATACCATTCCTGGATAGGTTTTGTCCCTGTGGGCTAAAGGAGATTGAAGGAATGGACCGTGTACTTTTGTCTTGTGGACTTTACCAGGATTTACATGCTTATCACCTCGTCCCTAGACTGCGATCCCTGGAGGGCAAATCTGAGGAAAGTAAGATAATGAACCTTCTAGCCTCAAGCAGGGCTGATACCACCGAAGAGGTGGCCAACTTCCTTTACAGAACGTATAGGAGGAGAAGTTCTTTTTCGGCAGAAGGGGTAGTGAATTAACTGTTTTGCGGGCCTACCGCCTCTGTACCTAAGGCTGATGCTGTTGTTATGCCAATAAAGGTTTGTGGTGTTGTGTGTTGTGACTGACCCAAGGTCACCCCAGCAGCTGCCTGTGGAGGAGTGGGGAATCAAACCTGGTTCTCCCAGATTAGACTCCGCGCTCCTAACCATGACACCAAACTGGCTTTCCCAGGTAGGAGTGTTGGGGCTTGTCAACTCTTACACAAAATCCATGTTCGAATGTAAGGCAAGAGGGCAAAGAAAAAGGGGAGGGGAAGGGAGAGGGACGGACGCTTACCGGCACCTTGACGTTTTCATAGAAGCTCCATGCCAGTGCCCACCTCATGGTCCGGCCCTGGCAGAATTCGGTGTGGGTAACTTTCGGAACCTGTACCGGGCAAAAGTATCTTAAGTCAACAACCTTTCCTCAATTATTTTTTAAAAGTGATCCTGGCCACCAAGAAACTTTGGAACGAAACCCCAAGCCGCCCTCACCCTGATGTACGGTGCCACCCTAGGCAGAGAGATTCTGGGCTTACCCCACTGACTTAAGTCTTACAATAAGGCATGAGAAAAAGAGAATGATTACGCAGTCCTTCTCCTCAGAGCTTTTTTGCTGAGCTGTGCAGCAGGCTGCGGTGGCTCAAGTGGTTAAGACGCTGAAACTGCAGACCGGAAAGATCGGTAGTTCAGCAGTTCGAGACCTGAGTGCCACATGACGGAGTGAGCTCCCGTGTCTGGCTCCAGCTCCTGCCAACCTAGCCGTTCGAAAGCAAGAAATTGCAAGTAGATAAATAGGTACCACTTCGGTGAGAAGGTAACAGCGTTCCGTGCGCCTCGGTGTCTACTAGCCGGCCTCATGACCATGGAAACGTCTTTGGACAGAGCTGGCTCTTCGGCTTGGAAATGGAGATGAGCACCGCATCCCTAAAGTTGGATTCGACTGGCTTTCGAACAAGGGAAACCTTTACCTTTACAGCAGGAGAAGCCGCCTCCTGTGTCGTGCATCCCTATGAAATGCACGCTGGCAGGACGGACGCATGCAGCGGAATAACCCCACATGTGCAGAGGGTGGGAACAGAATGGACTGCATTATTCCGGACTGCGAGGAAGAGACTGCAATACTGAATGCTCCCCCGCAGAAAGGCACTCTCTGCTTTCAGAAATCTAGCAAGGCAAGGAAAAGGCGGGATTAGAACCTTCGCCGCTTGACCTGCTGGCTTTCTTCCAGCATGGAGTTTCCCCCCACTTATGGGAAGCACCGGAAAAAGGAAAAGGCATTTCCCCACCTGCAGTCTGAAGTAGTATAGCCCCACTCTCTGCCACCTCAAGCCTTCACCACCACATTGTCCTGCACGCACAGAGCGGGCCCTCAGGTCTACTACAACAGAGAAGGAGTGCAGAATGAATAGCAGAGAGAAACAGGGATGACGGGAAGGCAGAGGCAAACCCTGTTCCCTAAGTCCAGCTGATCCCTAAGTCCAGGATGCCATCTGGGAGACTAGCAAGCAGGCAGAGCTCAGAGGGCCCTATGGGGACATAGACTGTGTAGTTCGTAAGAACTGAAGAAGGGCCCTGCTGGGTCAGACCAGCAGTCCATCTAGTCCAGCCTCCTGTCCCACACAGTGGCCAACCAGTGCCTCTGGAGGGCAAACAACAGGGCACAGAGGCCGAGGCTTTCCTAAGAACACAAGAAGAGCCCTGTTGGATCAGACCAGTGGTCCTCAGGCGTCTACCACATTTAGAAATCAAGCTCATGTGTGTGTGGGGTTGTTGTTTTTCTCTTTTCTGTTCTGAAGGGTCTCATTTGCACAGAAGAAGGCACATGTAGCTGATCTTCCCTTGGTCACTTCAGGGATCAGCTGAGAAAATTACCCGACACGACCGTGGGAGGCAGCGGCAGGGTTCAGCGTTTTCCAAACGTGAGCACCTGCAGGTGCTAATGTTAGGCTCACCCCAGATACGCAAGTCAACACACACGCACACACAAGGCCCTGTTGTGGTTCTTCAATGGGGCTTCCCTTCAAAGGTCCTAGATTTCCTAGCAGCTGCACCACGGAAGTGCCTTTCGTACAAGGGACGGCATGACTACAAAAACACAAGGAACAGGCAGCTGTTGTGTGCCTGTTTATTTCCTTCTGCAGTCCGCCTTTCCCTGCTGAGACTCAAGGTGGGTCACGAAACAGAGAGAGCAAGGAGAGACATACTCACGCCATGGATTCGAAGCTCCTCTTTCAACGGCGCCAAGCTGCATTTCTTTCCCAACATGCAACTGTACCACCTGTTAAAATAGGTTTTTTAAAGAGTTAGGCCATTCTATCGTAGTCAGCAGCTGCATTTTTAAAAAAAAAACGGGGGCGTGGGAGTACAGAGGAGGGGAAGCCATGCGAGAGAGAGGGAGAGACCAAAGGCTGGAAAACGGAGAATGGTGGGAATGCATGAAAGTACACGGGTTTGGGACCCAGATATTACAGCAAATCAAGGAATATATGGGGTATAATATCCCAAAAAAACCAGAAATGGTCCTTCTCAATCTGTGGGAGAGTAAAACAACTCCTAAAGCTCACAGAGAACTCATCATGACAATGCTGACAAGCTGCCAAAGCTCTGATAACTTCATGTATGAAAAAAGAATTCCTCCCTTTGGGGGTATTGCATGTTATATAGATTTTGACTAACAGCACAAATCAAACAGATTTAATAGAGAATCAGTACCCATTATGAAGCAACTGCTGGACTGATTTCCCTGATTATATTGACATTTTAGAATAGCTACCTCCACTTTTCTGTCTGCTTCCTCCTCCTCCTCATTACCTTGTTTTGTGCTCTATACATATGCTTTGTATATTATATAATAGAACAGTGTCAAAATTGTATTCCTTCTATAAAAATTGTATATTTTCCCTAAAGAATATCTCTCTTTATATATAAAAGAGTTTTGGTGCGACTCCTGGACACATTCCCACAGCCTTTGGCCTGCTCAGCTGCCACTCTCATGGACTCCCAATCCCGTGGCTGCAGTGGCTCACTGTGTGGGCACGGCCCCGCCCACCAAACTGGTGGGCAGCCTTTCGCCCTCACTCTGGAGGGAGCTGGGGCAGGGAGTGGAGTCTCAGCCTCACTGTGCTGGGAGCCAAGGGACAAGACGGGCTTTCCAGCGGCCAGAGGATGAGGAGACCGACTGCGAGACAACGGGGGAACACAGGGAAATGGCAGAGAGCCTGCAATGGCACGAGTCACCGCGGCTCACCATTTGCAGGACCAGCTGAAGACGGAGAGGTGGCTGGATGCTCACGGGCCCAGTGGTGGGGACGTGCCGCACTCAGTGAAGGGGAGTTTGGCAACGACGCAGACGAGACCCAGGCCAATCCTGCCGACGCCTCAGCCTTTATTGTCAGCTGAGGCCGACTCGAGGCTGCTGGACGCCAGGGGCCACAGGGCTGACGGCGGTGGAGGCGGCCCAATGGATGCCGCCACCCAGCCGGGCAAGGAGGCAGTGGTAGCCCCTTCCGTCACCCCTCCACCCTTGAGCTGGGAGGGGGGAGTGACTGGGGACCGATCCTCTCACCGCTGTGCCTGTCGTTGCTGCCGGCCCAGCCCCAATCCACCTCGCTGCCCGGCCTGCCCCCACACCGGGGCCGGTGCACCGCCAACGCGGAGAGTGCTCAACGCGGCCCCGAGGCTGCGGCTGTCCAGGGAGCCAGTGCCAGGCCATTCCCTCACCCCTTGAGCCATGGGGCCAGCAGTGGGGGGATGTCCCTTATTCTCCTCAGAGGTGACCAGCACCCCGTCTGCCACACCTGGAGGAGGGCCCTCACGCTGATGCTGCTCCTCCCGCTGCCCGGAGGACGGCAAGCATGCGCACAAAGGGGCCCGGTGGTGGCCCATACCGCTGCTCTGGGGTCTCGCCAGCACGTCCAGGGCGGGGCCCCGGGGAGGTCTCCCGTCTTTCTAGGGCTTGTTGTATTGTTCCTACAATGGGCCTTGCTCCTAGTCCACCATATATTTATATGGTTTTACATACTGTAATCTCTGATCAAGCTGTATATCTCTATGTTACTGCTGTTTGTTATCTGTCAGTCTAGAGTCTTACATTTTAATAAAGTATGTAAGTAAAAAAGGGAATAATTCTCCCTCTTCCCTTTTTTACTTACCGTGTTTCCCCGAAAATAAAGACACTGTCTTATATTTATTTTTTCTCAAGAAGACACACTAGGGCTTATACCACACATGCATAGAAATCCTGCTAGCGCTTATTTTTGGGGTAGG